CCAGGGGGCCCTCGCCGGGCCTCGGGACCGTCAAGAAACGACTCAGGAAGAAAAACCGGTCCAGGGAAAAGGGTCGGGACTTCCAGAGAGCCGTCCTGAAAAAATCAGGGCGCCGCATGGCTGGGAACGACACCACCCCACCCACGGCCCCATGGGGCCTGGCGTATACCAGGAAATCCGGCGTGGGTCTTTACGTGGTATACGCTACGGTTAGGTCGGGCATGTCCCCCTACAGGCGGATCTTGAAAGAAAAATGGAAATTGTCAAACATGTTCAGAATACATGCGAAACTACTCAAAAATCGTCCCCTGACCACTTTTTCACTATTTTTGAATATTCCTCCTGTAGAGGGACCGGCCCGACTTAACGCTACGGCCGTCGATGAGCCGCAGCGCAACATGGAGGGCCAGAGGTGGGGTGGTGTCGTTTGGTGTTTGGTCGAGCACCTCTCCCCGCGTTTCTGCGCCACAGGCTCCAGAGTCAGCACGTATCGATGCTGCGACTCCGATCTAGAGAGCGCGGGGGATGCCGGCCGCCCGCGTGCGCGGAGCAGGTGGGCGGCTGCCACCCCCCGAGAGGGGCGCGAGACAAGCAGTGCACGTGCTGGGCCACTCCGCCGCTGCCCGGCCCAGGCGCGAGCAGAGGGCTGGGATTCGGCGGCGCGCCGGGGGGGGGTGAAGTGCAACGCAGAAGGCCTTCGCAGAAGGCGGCGGGGCTTCTCAGAAACCCTCCGGCCTTCTGACAAGCCCCCTGCGTCTTCGGCAAAGGGTTCGAAGGCTCCTCAGAAGGCCGAAGGCATTTCGAACCTTCAGAGAAAACCCGCCCATTCCGCTTTCCCCCGAGAGCGCGCCGCCGAAGGAAAGACAGGAGCTGCGCTCGAACAGCGAGGCGCAGAAACGAAACGGATGCAGGAAGAGAGCGGAGGAGGGAGGTGCGAGATGGAATGGGGGGAGCGCGGATGCGAAACAAAAACGCCCCAAACTCCTGCCATCTCTTCGGAGCAAAGTTGCCGCGGCAGCAGGCCACCCCCACCGCGGATGGGCAGGGGGGGCGCGATGTGCAGCCGCAGAGAAGCAGGAGGAGAAGCAGGAGGAGAGGGAAAGGCAGGGCGAGGGAGGCAAGGAACCAGGGAGGATGAGGGAGGAGGAGGGGAGGAGGAGGCATGCAGGGAGGGAGGGGGAGGAGGATGGAAGGGGAGGGAGGAGGAGGGACAGGAGGGGCAGGGGAGGGAGAGGGGGAGGACGAGGGGGATTGGGGAAGAGAGAAGGGGAGAGAGAAACGGAGGGGTACATTTTGCGCTGGACATCTGAATGTCCGGATGAGGAAGGGAAGGGTAAGGGCGCAATGGCACGCGATAGGATGATCCTCCCTTCCGGGCGCGGGTGCGCAAGGATGCCGGGGTATCCTGTTCCAGTATCGAACTTACTGTCTCTCACGCGTCTTGACGCGTCTTGAACCAAGTGGATACGGATGACCCGTCTGCTGGCGCTTAGTGCTATCCCGCGCAAGAGGGGCCAAGATCGGTCACAGATGCGGGCTTCGGGGGAGACCTACTGCGCACAACAACTAAACCTCCTACATCCTTAGCGCCGATACCAAAGCGATAGCAGGCAGCAGGAAACAAGCTGGCCTCAATATCCGGAAGCCAGCGCACAGGTGCACATCGCTCAAAATGTTGCCGACCTCCATAGGGCCGTCTATGTTCAGGCGATATAGGGTCGACCAACCCAGCCCACGATCGTACATCAGCTTTTCCTACTGCCTCCGAGCTGCATGCGGCAACCGGACCTGCCGCCGAGAATGGAGGCCCCCCCAAGCGCCAGTGGCAATCTGCAACTCAAGGGGACCTGCGCAAGGAGGACCAGGCTCCGCCGCGAAATCCCTCTTCGAACACCAACGCTTGGGTCCCCGCTTGATGGGGCCATCCTCATCGATCCACTGCGTTCTTCCGGCCAATACTGCAATACTGCCATCGGTGAGCCCGTTACGCAACATATCTCCCGCGCCGATCCACACTTTGCCTGCGACGATGCCACGATCGAGCCACTCACGAAGCTTCATGACCGTGCATGCTATGTGCCTCTCCGTCGGTAAGTGCACTGCACTGCTGTCGCTGTGTACGCTTTGAAGACATATCTGCGATCAGTAAGTGCAGCAATCTTCCTGCTGAACCCTCAGCGCTCTGCGCAAGGGGCTCAGGCGGCTGACGCGCAGGAGCCCGCGTCCATCTCATGGAGAAAGGTCCACCTATTGGCATGCGCGCGGAAGCCGCGTCACCAACAACTCCTGGTTCTGCGCTGGCCGCTTTCCGGCTCACCCTCGACTGCTTACCGCCGATTCTCGCATCGCCATTATGGCGCAACTCCGTGGTCTCCGCTCGAAGCGCTGGGCAATCTGGCTCGTCTGCTCGACCAGCCGAGTCTACAACGTCGTGCATCGCCCAGCTCTTATCGAACGAACTCCACATCTCGGATGCCTGGGTGAAGCTGCTGAATTAATTCACTGACGGCTTAGACTGTGAAGCTTCGCGTGGCGATGTACCAACAGCTTAGGCTGAGCATTTCTCTGGCGCAGCCCCACAAACGCTCGCACATTTGGTCGCGATTGAGCCACCGAGGAAAAAGGTCCAAACTGGCTGCGCGCCAGGGCGCGCAACTCCGCGCCGAAATCGTCGCATGGTCGATGACAAGAGCGCGCCAGCGCAAGTAGAAGGCGCAGCTCCCTGACCCAGCCGCGCTTGCGGGTGTAGATTGGCAACGTGCCCAGCGCCCGCTCACGTTCAACGCCGACAATTGCAAACTGGGTCAAATGTTTGCTGCGCTTCCCGACAGCCTTCTCAAGATATGTTAAAAGTTCTTCTCGCGCGTCAATTGCCGGGGAGCCCTTCAGACCATCCAAACGCCCACGAACGGAAAAAAGAAAAAATCGTGGCCCTGATCGCCGCGCACCGATTGGAACTTGTTATCCGTCTGGCGCGGGACTCGCTTGGTCGCGCTCACGACCTGGCGCGTACCTCAAGCCCCATGTTGGCAGTAAGACTCGCAGGAAGTCCTTCTCACGGTCGAAGCCCGCCCAGCCTTTTAAACGAATCGAAAAGGCTGCGCACATGGCGCCCACGATGAACAGAACTTGTAAAATGACACCGTCAGTCGTCACGGGGTTGACCTCATCGAACGTCAAGCCTTTCAGACAAGCGCCCAAAATATCGAATGCCCAAAGGTCATGGCTGTTCTGGCATGCGTGGCCGATCACTACTCTTGTGCGATATATTGCCGCCGATCCGCTGAACGTCTCAGTTTGTGATTGAAGATCCAGGAATGCTGTCGATATCAGTCTGCCGTCGATGTCGCGCTGCCCCTTGCCGTCGATAACCGCGATCTCCCATTTGACGACCCAAGTGGCGCCCACAAGTTTGATCGCGCCTTACGCCATCATGATTCCCACGCTTCCGAGCTCCAAGAACTGAAATTCCCAGCTCACGGCGGTGACTTCACCATGTTTTCGCCGCTGCTCTCCCGCACTGGAATTACGCAAATCCCGCCTGGTCACCTGGCTATTGAGCTTCGCCTTGGACAGCGCACATACCAGATCGCATCCTTCAGGCACTGGTTGTTTAGTGCGGAACTCCACGTTGTGGGCATACCAACGCAAAGCAAACTCGGCAAGTGGTTTGCCGCATCGCAATGGGAACTCATATCATCGGGTAGATCGACAAGCTCATGCCTCGTCTGCTGCACCGGTGGCTCGACGCCCTCTCGACGTCTGATGGGTTGAAGTCGTTGTTCATGCCGTTATTCTGGATACTTGAGCACGCGCCCCAGTGCCCGTCCAGCCACGCGCTGCGAACCCGCCCATAGCGATGGAAGGTGAAATCGGATTGTGGTGGGTGTCGCCGTGCAGGTCCTCAGCGCCCGCGCGGCCGTCCGTGTCTGCGGTCGTTTGGCCCTGCGCTGGCGCTGGCGTCGCCGACGCCGCGGTCGAGGTCGACGCTGGCGCGCCCGCTGGCGGCGGAAGAGGCGGCGGAATCAATGCCGGTATTTCGCATCGCTCCTCTGCTGGGTCAGTCCGTTGACGCTTGGCCGCTGGTGAGGTGGCATCCAAAGCCCGCACGTCATTGCATGCGGTAGCGCGCGATGATCATGCGCCCGATCGTCGCCGTGATCACCTCCGTGTTTCGGATTGCGCGATGGTGGCCTGCCGACTTATTATTCTTCTGGTGGCGGTGCTGCGCGCGGTGCTCCTGGTGCTCGTTGTTGCTGGGGCGGCGATGGAGGTGCTGCGCGCGTCCCCATATCCGCCGGCTCCTCGAAGCCATTTCCGCCGTCGTCGCATCCGCGAGGTCGAAAGAAGAAATGCGCGACTTCGATCTTCCACGAGCACGCCTCCGGCCGATCGCCCTCGCGCAGAACGCGCATCCAGTCAACGTAAATGCTGCCAAACTGCACTGCGCAATAGCGCAGTGAGGAGTGCTTATACCGCCACATCAGCAATGAGCCTTGCATCGCAGGTAGACGTTGACGGCGACGCACACAGCAGTCAATTCGCGCCCCAAGACAGTGGCGAACACCAATGACAGTGCAAAGTGACAAGCCGCGCCCCATAGCTTCGAATGCTGAATCGCGCTGCGCGTGTGCCCCCACTGCCTTCACCTCGCTATGCGGGCTGACATCGGGCGCATTCGCCACTTGCAGATGGGGGCCCATCTCGTAGGTCTGATCGGCCCGTGACCCTGAGGGATCCAATCCACATGGAAACGCCGCTCTTCTCGGCCTTCCTCAGCGCGACCGGCTTCTGGAACACCTACTCCTCGACGTCGGGCGCCGCCGGGCCCGACGTCGGCGCGCGCGCTCGCGGCCGCGGCGGCGCCCAGCCGGGCAGCGCGCCGCGAGGCGCGGCGCGGCGGGCAACGCGCCGCCAGATCCTTGTCCGCGCCGGCCGCCGTCGGCACCGCGGGGAGGGGGGGCCCCTGGCGGCGGCCGCTGGCCCGGGGAAGCCCGCGCCTCGAGCTGCCCCTCTGCCCGGCGCGCCCGCTCGACGCGGGCGGCGAACGCGCCAGGCGCGCCGATCTCTTGCACGGGGCAGGTCTCTGGTCCGGCGCGGCACAAGCGGGCGAAGCCCAGCTGAACGCCAGCCCCTGGCGACGGAAACATCGAGGCCACGCCCGCGCGCTGCGAGGCCCGAGAAGCTCCCTGCAGCCACGCCACCAAGAAGAATCCATCCTCATCGGGGCGACCCGCCTCCTCGACCTCGAACACCGCGGCCCCGACGCACGCGCCTGGGCCACGGACGCCGCAGCGCGCCGTCGGGGCTTCGCGGGCCCAGTCGGCCTCGACCAAGGTCGACGCCAGGGCCCGCTGGAATCCCACCAGCCCGCTGGGCGGAGGTGATCTAGAGCGCTTCCGTTTCCAACCTCCCTGATATACCCCCCCCCCCCCCCCCCTTGGGTTTGGACGGCGCGGGCCCGAGGGGTTAGAGGGTCCTCTTTGGCCCAAGATGGCTCCATGAGGGCCTCAGAGAGCGCGAGATGGCCTCCAAGATGGCCCAATATAGCTCCAGATGGCTCAAGATAGCCTCCGACGCACACCCGAGAGGCCCCAAGGCTGCCCCAAGACGGATCCAAGTGCCTTTCGAGCCTTCGACGGCGCCCTCGAAGATGCCAAAACCCTTCAAAATCCGATGGGGAATCAATATTTCAAGCATTCTCGCCTTTTCGCTTCCGATGGGCTGCGGCATCCTCAACATGGCCCCGAGCTGCCCCAAGAGAGCCCCAAGAGGTGCCCAAGAGGGCCCCAAGACGGCCCCAAGAGCGGCCAAGAACGCTCCAAGAACGGCCCCAGACGGTTCGAAGACTCCAAGACAGCATTTGCGAGCCTCCGAGGGGGCGACGGGAATCCCCCCCTCCCCCCCCCCCCCTCTTTTTCCCAACCATCCTGTGGTGTTGGGTCCTCGTTTTGAAAAGACGTTGCCCCGCGTTCCTCCTCCTCCTTCTCCCCCTTCCCTTCCACGCCCATTCTGGCGCACCCCTCACACGTTTCGTGGCCCCATAGGGAGCTCCACCGAAGGCCCCAGCGGCTGCGCCCGCATGCGGTTCCACCCCCCATTCTGGCACACCCCTCACGTTTCGTGGCCCCGTAGGGAGCTCCACCGAAGGCTCCAGTGGCTGCGCCCGCATGCGGTTCCACCCCCCATTCTGGCACACCCCTCACACGCTTCGTGGCCCCATGGGGAGTTCCACCGAAGGCCCCAGTGGCTGCGCCCGCATGCGGCTCCACCCCCCGTTCTGGCACACCTCTCACACGTTTCGTGGCCCCATAGGGAGCTCCACCGAAGGCCCCAGTGGCTGCGCCCGCATGCGGTTCCACCCCCATTCTGGCACACCCCTCACACGTTTCGTGGCCCCATAGGGAGCTCCACCGAAGGCCCCAGTGGCTGCGCCCGCATGCGGTTCCACCCCCCATTCTGGCACACCCCTCACACGTTTCGTGGCCCCATAGGGAGCTCCACCGAAGGCCCCAGTGGCTGCGCCCGCATGCGGTTCCACCCCCCATTCTGGCACACCCCTCACACGTTTCGTGGCCCCATAGGGAGCTCCACCGAAGGCCCCAGTGGCTGCGCCCGCATGCGGTTCCACCCCCCATTCTGGCACACCCCTCACACGTTTCGTGGCCCCATAGGGAGCTCCACCGAAGGCCCCAGTGGCTGCGCCCGCATGCGGTTCCACCCCCCATTCTGGCACACCCCTCACACGTTTCGTGGCCCCATAGGGAGCTCCACCGAAGGCCCCAGTGGCTGCGCCCGCACCCCCCCCCCCTCCCCCATTCTGGCACACCCTTCGCACGTTTCGTGGCCCCATAGGGAGCTCCACCGAAGGCCCCAGTGGCTGCGGCATGCGCTCCCCCCCCCCCCCCCCCCCCATTCTGACACACCCCTCACACGTTTCGTGGCCCCATAGGGAGCTCCACCGAAGCCCCAGTGGCTGCGCCCGCATGCGGTTCCACCCTCCATTCTGGCACACCCCTCACACGTTTCGTGGCCCCATAGGGAGCTCCACCGAAGGCCCCAGTGGCTGCGCTCGCATGCGGTTCCACCCCCCATTTCGGCACACCCCTCACACGCTTCGTGGGTGGCTCCATGGGGAGCTCCACCGAACCGCCCCAGTGGCTGCGCCGCATGTGCCCCCCCCCCCCCCCCCCTTCCATTTCGGCACACCCCTCACACGGCTCGTGGCCCCATAGGGAGCTCCACCGAAGGCCCCAGTGGCTGCGCTCGCATGCGGTTCCACCCCATTTTTCGGCACGCCCTTCACGTTTCGTGGCCCCGTAGGGAGCTCCACCGAAGGCCCCAGTGGCTGCGCCCGCATGCGGTTCCACCCCTCATTCTGGCACACCCTTCACACGTTTCGTGGCTCCATAGGGAGCTCCACCGAAGGCGCCAGTGGCTGCGCTGGCATGCGGTTCCACACCCCATTCTGGTACACCCCTCGCACGCTTCGTGGCCCCATAGGGGGCTCCACCAAAGGTCGCAGTGGCACTGCCCGCTTGCCTCCGCCACCACCCAGCACAGCCCTTGTTCCCTGCGCTTCACCCACCCAGAACAGCGCTTCGTAGCCCTATAGGGAGCTCCAAAGGCCCCAGCGGCACCGCCCGCATGCGTCCGCCACCACCCTGCGCAGCCCTTGCTCCCTGCCTGCGTTTCACCCACCCAGTGCAACGTTTCGTGGCCCCATAGGGAGCTCCACCGAAGGTCCCAGTGGCACCGCTCGCATGCGTCCGCCACCACGCAGCAGCCCTTGCTGACCGCGCCTCGCCCACCCAGCACAGCGCTTCGTGGCCCCATAGGGAGCTCCACCGCAGGTCCCAGTGGCACCGCCCGCATGCGTCCGCCACCGCCCCGCACAATTGCGGCATTCACAACTGCATATGGTTGGGTCCTTCGCCAAGCTAATTTAGCCACGGGGCCCAAGACGGCCCCAAGAGGCCCCCCAAGCCTCCCCACAGAGCCCTACGAGGGCTCCAAGACACCCCAAATGAGCCCCAGGAGGGCCCCACGAAGGCCCCAAGAGGACCCTGGGAGGGCTCCAAGATGACGCCAAAATGGCACTACGACGCTTCGAAGAAACCCTCACCACAATATATTCCCTAAGCCCGACTTCTCGTCCTCCTTGTCATCGTCCCCTCCTCCTTTTCTGTTTGTCCTCCTCCTCCCCCCCCTCCTCTTCCTCCCCCTCTTCCCCCTCCTCTCAACCCCCGAGATGGCCACGGGCATCGCCGGCGCCAGCAGCACTAGCAGTAGCACCAGCATCAACGCCAGCAGCAGCGGCACCATAAGCACAAACTACAACGACAACACCAACGGCACCAGCAGCCACAGCCCGACACCCTTCGCTGCAAGAGCTCACCCAACTCACCGGCGTTGCCAATCGAGCCGCCGTGGGACACACGCGCCTTCCTTCCTCCCTTCCTGCCTCCTCCCTCCTCCGCTTCATGCTTCCCGTGCCGCGTTCCTGCTCTTCCTCCTCTTCCCCGTCCTCCTTCTCCTTTGTTTCCTCCTCCTCCTCTTCCCCCCCCTCCTCCTCTTCCTCCTCCTGCGCTCGTTCCGCGGCGGACAGATCCCTCGTCCTTTGCAACTGCTACTGCTAAGGCTACCGCTGCTGCTGCTGCTGCTGCCGTCGCAGCGCGCGGCAGTGCAGGGCGGGCCTTGCCCGCGGCGCTGTAGATCGCGATCGGCGTCGGCGGGCGGAGAAGAAGGGGGGGGCACAGCATCGGCAGACGCGGGGGCCTCGGAGGGGGGGCGGACAGGAGCGGGGGAAGAGCCAAAACGATAGGCCTCCAGGGTTCTGGAAAGAGCAGACCTAAGCTGGGGGAGAAGAGTGATGCCTACCTCGCGAGATATAGTTCCTTCAAATTGGAGAGCTATGGCGAACAGATAAAGAGGCAACCGCTCTATTACTCAACGATTCTTGTGATGGGTTAATTCGACCTAACTTTGCAAGGGGGTCGGGGGGAAACGGGTGGCCTTTAAACTTCTGTAGAATATCCCAGAACCGAGGACAGCAGAGATAGTGAGCTTGAGAGTCCGCGCCGCCTTCGCACCCGAGGCGGCGCGCGCGAGATGACTGGAAACGAGGGCGGGTCGTCCAGGCACCTGCAAGCGTTTTGATGGCTGCGTTCCTCCAGGCTGGAGGCATCTGTAAACATATCTCCTGCACGCGGTGCCAGCGAATTCTTGCAATGTCACTCCGAGGGACCCGCGGAAGAAGGTGGGGGAGACGAGCGCGGAAGGAAGAGGCCAGGGCGGGGGGAAAGAGGACGGTGTGCAACTGCTGGCTCGCTGCACGTTGGACTTTTTTTTGCCTTCGGCAATCGCGAGCGTGGCTGCCTGCATTGCAGCGCCACCCGCCCTCGCAAAATACGGAATGTTGCAAAACCCGTTCGCCGCCCCATGCAGATTGTCGCACGCCGGGGGGTCAGACCAGAAAGAAGGGCGCCTGAGGCCGCGCCCCAGATCAGCCAAAGAGAGGAAAACTCCAGCCTCGGACAGTCTCTCGTAGCAGGACTGCCAGACTGTGAACGTGCTTAAAGACGCTCGAATAAGCGACGCCAGGCTGAGCACAAGCAGACTTCTCATTCGTGGTCCACCCCGCGAATGCAGAGAGGCAAAATCACAGCGCGACAGAGAGCAATGCGGCATTTTAAGAACCGCAGCGAAGATCGCGTGCCCACGCGGAAGCACTGTTTTGAGAATGTGGCAAAACTGGGCCACGCACCCCAGACAGGAGCGGGCTCGACTGTTGCACAGCGAGGCCGCAACTGCAGAGGGAGCACCGCTTCTAGCAATGGCTTGGGCTCTGCTGTTCCATGTAGCCACTGGCGCCGCCCAGGAGGCCACGGCCGTGCCGGGGCCAAGGTACAGACCTAGGTGCAGTAGACGGGGCACAATCTGAATTCCTTGCCACTCTGGGAGGTTCGCCTTAATCCATTCTCTGTGCTCAGAGGCGACCGATTCGTTAATTTGACCTACTAATGGGACTAACTTACACTTACTCAGTTTAAGGGACAAATTGGCCACCCGTTTCGACGTCCGAAAAACGGCGAAAAGTTGTCTCAACGCACTCAGTTGATAGATCACGCTTCCTTTGTCGTCCGCGCAGGCCCTCACGAGGCCGAGGTTCTTTTTCTCGAGCAGGGTATCGAAGTGGGCGACGAACGGATGAGATGCCACCGCATAGAGGGCCCCGCTCGCAGGGCATCCCTGCACAATGCCAGACTCGATAAA